TTTTTTTTTTTTTTTTTTTTTTTTTTTTTTTTTTTTTTTTTTTTTAAATTAACGCTCAAGATAAACACTGTTTATTCTTCGTCCAACGGCATTCACGAAACAATAGTGGTGTAGAATATTATTGTCCGTTCTATTCCGAGAACAAAATAGAAACAGCTGCATCCCCGCGCAGTTTTTCAAGCCACAAGCGCGAGTGGAAAAAAAAAAAACTACACGCACGAGCTTTCAGAGTATTACGGCCATGCGGCACCGCGTTAAAAGGTCGGGCTGAATGAGGGAGAGTGCATGAAAAACGAAATAACGAGGAAACGAGAGAGAAGACCCGGGCGCGTGGTGGGACGCCAAAAAAAAAGGCACTGCACGCATGTGCCACGGCAAGATAGCTAGAGAGAAAATGGCTATTGTAAGCGCGAAAGTACAAACATACATTCGTATATACAGTCCAGAGGGACGTACAGACGAGCGTTTTGATGCACATCACAGCGTTTTGTTCGTCGTTACATCGCTTCAATAGTGCCGGTGGTTTACGGAGTGACATTCTCATGACTCTTTTTTTTTATAATCGTGTCTTAATTGATTGCCCTGAGCTATGGTTACTTTTTGCTCTCCTCTCCAAGTGTACATTTGACTTTTCAATCCCAGCGAGTTCGTGCTATCTTTGCCAAAAGCACCAAAAGAAACTGTTGTTTTGATAATTTTTTTTTTTATAGCTTATAGTCAAACCTTTTTATTTAGTCAAAACTTAAACTTTTCATACGGACAACAAAGTGTACGTCATTATTCTCTTAGTTATACGCTAATTATTAAAACGATAAATAAATAGGTTGCAGAGCAAAAATGCTGCTCAAACAAATGTCTTTTTAATATTTTATCAGAGGAGAAAAATGGTGAAATAGCACTAGATAACGCTTATATCCATACAACTAACGAGGTTCCTTGGTTAATATAAATACGGCAAGACTAAAGTAAAAGTAAAACAGAACAATCACTCATTTCCATACTCTGGGATGTAAGACCGTCGAATAAGCTCTTTTGCAAGTAAAAAGTGCCGTCCAACAATTCGATTCTAAAATGGCACTCTGAGAGGAGAGAGCGCGAAGACGCGTCAATTAATCCATTAACTTTGGATTTTTTTTTGCGGACACTGAACTACAATAGGAGGTACTCGGCTTGGTCTCCACAAGGACGGCTTAACTGTTTCTCTCCCCGTCTATACGAGCACATTAACGGTACTTACAACGGCCCCACGTATCGCAGGGATCGGTAAGATTTGGCGAGCCCAGCCATTTTTGGGTCTCCACTCGTTGGTACTATTTAGCTGATGTGTACTACACAAAAACCTAGCAATGATAAATCAAGGCACAGAGTGTACGACGGCCTTGTTGGAAACGAAGATTTGGAGCTTTCAAGGAAAAAAGAATGGTAAGACGCTGGTGGATGAGGCTAATTACTCAAAGCACATAGACTCCCTCCCTCTTATTCCTTCGCGCTTCCATACATACACTCATCTTATAAACTTTGTTTTTTACTTACACACTTCCTACTACTGGATAAACATGGGCCCGAGGATGTCGCTCGTGTACGTACGTACAGGTACGTATAGGCCAAGTAAGTATACGCAATGTTTGTTTGGAAGATTTTATCCTTGGCTCCAGTTCTGAGCTGCTGCTGTCGTAAGTTAGGGTTGAAACCGATGCGCGAACGTTTCTGGCATCATTTGTCTCCCCGACACTCTGAACAATCGTTCAGAGTGACGAGCGATGAGAAAACCGAGATGGGGTACGTATAACGCGCTCGGTGAGATTTTATTATTTTATCCCATCACCGGGTAGCACCTGTAAGTTACAGTTTCGTTGCGAAACATCAATTCTTCACAACGACGAGCCGGTGACGGCCGAGAAAACCGAACGTAAGTATATATATATTATACGAGCGACGCTTCACACCTTGAACCAGCTCCGAGGGATCCCCATATACGGGCGGCGCTTTTGACTCGCGCCCGCGAGTATAAGTGTATATTTATGCAGTACACGCGTATAACCGAGACGACAGCTAGATAGCCGCTTCTTCTTTCTCTCCAGCCATCCGCTGCGATTTGCAAAACTGCCAGTTTCAGGTGCGCATAAGCCAGGATCGAGGAGATCGCGTTACATGCTCCCTTCCCTCTACTCGCATTCCATATGTTGTATACGTATACCCGCATCTGCGTCTATGTATAATATATACGTGATACGATCGAGAAGGGGGCAAGTCTTTATCGACCAAACAAGATATCGAGTACGTATAGCCACACTGATCCGCTTTTTTTCGAGACGCGCTCCAACGGGATGATTATTCTTTTAATCGCGTGGTTATCAACAGGGAGGACTCTGAAAGACGATGGTGGGGAGTGAAATGTTGAAAATATAAAACTCTGTCCGCAAAAAAGTACTCTGACCCCTCGAGCGTGTAAGGAGCACCTAATACGTAACGAGTCGAGCAGTTGGAGCTCGGCGCAGGAAAAGGCTCGTTAAGGCTCTTTCGAGTCGAAAGTTTCGAGCGTCCGGTATAATGGGCGTCGTAATGGACTTTGCCGAAAGAAACAATGAGAATTTCCATGGAGTGGTGGATAATATTTTCAAGTGCCCTTTCGTATTGGCGAAAACGCGAGGGGAAGCCTTTGGTCGTTGTTTTTTTTTTTCCTCCTTCCCAGCTTGTGCGTCGTCAACAGAAATAAAAAAGGACGCGAACTTTATTGGATTTCTCAGTGTTGCCGCGAAAGTGGAATCTGGTCCGTTCCCCGGTAAAATATTTCCGAGCACGTGTTTCTCCGGGGGATCGGTTTACTCGGCTGGAAAAGCCTGAGAAACGGCTTCCATATGGCACCCCCTTCTTTTCCACTACTATGTCGGGCAGAGCCACGCAAATCCTCGTCATCGTGACGCAAGTCAAACGCACCATTATTAGCTGTTCCGATGTCTGCTCGCGTGGGCAGTGCCCGCGGTACGAAGGTGACTGGATTTTTTTTTTCCAACTTGTGGAACTTTGGTTCGTTGATTAAAGTCTCGAACTTTCGTACAGTGTGGGACAAAAGAAGCATTTATTTTTTTGACAAAAGGTTATACGTCTTTTGATTCACGGTCTGGTATATATATATATATTTATTCTACAAATTAATTACGGGGGTTTCACAGAAGCCATGCGATACAAGCAGTATTGTTTAATTACAGGGTTGCACAAGGTTTAAAACTACAAACGAGTGTTTCTGGTGCATACTATTCGAGAAATGAGACTTTATGGCTTTGAGTACGACCCAATGGTAATAGTAAGTAAATTACAAGGGATCTCAGAGTACTGAGGTGTACTTTCACTTTATAAATTAAATCGGTATGGTGCGATTATCTGTTGGAATCGGAGGGGCTCACTTTATCAAGATTCATTCGCGCTTACATCCAGAGCTATTGCTTTTTCGATGTAGTGAAATATGGAAATCCATTAGGGAAAATTTATTATTTGCGATTAATTTGAAGCTCAGCTGCAAAGGATTTATGGGTTATTGCACCGGCTGCATCCGCACCGATGGAAAAAGATAAGCCAAGACTTTCCCCTAGGCGTAGAAAAAAATAAAATAAAAAGGGTGAATTCAAATAAAGAAAGTAAAAAAAAAAAAAAAAAGAAAATTTGTAGTTTCTCCAAAGGATAATATTGATTGTGATGGAGGTACGTGCTTCTACGGTCCCTTTTATGAATGAAAACTCGCTGATGAACGTTAAAGGTGGCTCTGACGCTTGTAAAAGAGACAAAGTTTGTTGCCTCACGTTTAGAAAGTAACGCATGGTACTTATATACTGTTTGGACATGTGGGTAAGGGAAAACTGTTCTTTTCGTTCTACTCTCTCTTGATCTAGTAGATAACATGGGCTCCAGTTTTCATTGTTCACTGACCCAGAAAGACGCTCAAACTACGGTATTCAAATTCCAATTTATAAAATTAACTCATTGTCAAAATATTAATGAAAATCCCTTTGTGGTTATAAGTATTGCCGCGTTTCTAACTTTGATGAGTCAACCTCGAAAAACGTCGGTGACTCGTGCCGTCCACTGGACTTCTCTGCGGCATGTATACGTCTCATTCCATATGGAACATCGGGTCCTCGAACATCACTACTACAGCCGTGCCACGCTATACTGCTTTCACGAAAATCGATCCCACGCTCGATCCGACTACGTCGACACGAAAATCGAAACGATTTCCACCCAACTTGTTACTACTATATCGATCGGGAGTTTTTTTTACCGATCTCGAAGCAACGAAAGTCCGACCACCCGATCATGACCGAGGGTCTCGAGAAAAAAAAAAAAAATCCCTCTTAGAGTAAGAAGCGGAGCGGAGGCGCGTGGGTGTCACTGACCTTGAATCGAACTTCGTGCCGTCCTTGAGCGTGCCGGTATAGTGCATGGTCAGCTGGTCGTTGATCTTCGACTTGACGTCGCACACCTCCGGCACGTACGTCTGCTCCATCTTGAACTCCTCGGCGAGGACTGCCCCCCAGCCGCAAGTTATCGCCAAAGCGATCAGCGCAATCTTGGCCATTTTACTGTACTTTTTTGTTTTTTTGGTAAAATAATTGATCGGTAACAAAAACGAAAAACAAAAAAAAAGAAAAAGAAAATAAAAAAAAAATAGACGGTGCTAAAAAACGACCGTCCCGATTGTGGGGAGGATGTTGTTTGGAGCAAAAATCGGAGTTGCTTGTGGGCGGACGAATCGAGAAGGCCTGCGCGAGCAAGAGGGAGTGCAGAAGCAAGAGGGCCTCTCTATAGCGTTGGCGGAGTGCCGGCGGACAACTGGCGGCCGTTCGTCGCACCGATCGCCAGCTAGCCTCTCTTTCGCCCTCCCCCGCCCCTTTTCCATCTACTCCTCCTCATGGTGGGCCAGAGGAGAACGGCGTGCTTGCCACATTGCGCCGTCTCATAGGCCACGCAAGCATGCGCGCCTCTCCTCGATATGTAGGTCTTCGGCGCGCGCGTCTCTTTTTTCTCTCCTTTTCTCCTTATAGGAGCGAGCTCGTGAAAAACCATCCGCGTTGTCGCGCGAGCCGGAAAAACGTGAAAATCCCACTCTGGTAGAATCAATTGGCTTTTATCTGCTTGAGGGGCCTTTTTCTCATCTACAGTTACGTGGAATTTCAGTTTACTTTCCAACAATTATGTTCATCCGGAAAAAAATTTGATCAACAGCCAGTTATTTTTATTCCTGAGATTATTTAACAACTCAGATGTCTACGTGTTTTACGAGCTGTCAGTTTTACACTGTCCCCTGTTTTTGTAAAAATCCCCAGTGGGAGACTTAATTTTTTTTTTTTTTTTTTTTCAACTTTTAGTCCCAAAAATGTATTATGTGCTTTTTAATGTTCGCATGATTTTTTGTTAAACACAGCAAGGTCAGTTAAAAAGTTGGGCAAAAAATTTTTGCTTGATTAATTAATTCATGCAATCTTCGTGGAATCACTCATGTACGTCCTCTACATGCGCTCTATACTCCAACACGACACTCGACCCGCGATCTCGGCGTGTATACGTGGCACTCTGTGCTATCACTAGCTGCTGCTGCTACGCATAGTTTTTTTTTTTTTTCATCTCTCCTCTTCCTTTTTCTCTTTACCATCAGAAAATTATTTGCTCACCGAAGCGTGTGTGCAAGGTGTTGTGCAATTTTTTTTGAGTTATCACGCGTTTCTTTGATTTATTTTTCACATCGCAGTGGATTTCGATTTCTGATGGCCACTTTTACAAGTATAAATTATCTGAACGCTGTGTTAAATGTGATTCCAAAAATAATATTAAATTAAATTCGTTTTCACGTGTTAGCCCTGAATTAATGAGATGATTTTCAATTAAGTAGCTTACGTAATCGGAACGTTCTCTGTCTAGACTGTTTGGGAATAAATGGTACATGCACTCCAATCATGTAATTTTTTAAATAAACAAACTAATAAATACAACAACAAGTAAAAGTGTATGTATTTCACTTAATAATCTAGAAAAAATGAGAAACAATTCCATAATGCCTAATGTATGATCTTGTAGGTGTTGTTGCTACTTAACATTACAACTAAATTATTACTTGATGGCAGATATCAGATACTCATAGTATAACCGTGTGTTAACTTTTTTTTTTTACTACTTCAGTTATGTTAATGGAGTGTACAGTAAAAAAAAAAAAAATAAATAAAAAATAAAAGATACGTTATCATTGTGTGGGCACTCAAATTATTTTAATATCTATTCGACATACCAATAAGCACCATTGAACACGTATTATGGGCTCATTAACGGTTGTACTGAAATACCAAAATTCTCCTATGCACACCTATAGATGCTTCAAAATGACTTTTCATCGTGCGAGGCGGTCATGACTGCTGCTTCGGTGTCAAAGTCTTTGTAACATTGACGGTCACTGCCAGCGATACCGAAATAATTCCAGATCAATTCGATACCTCGTTTATCAGAGTAAAACTCTAGTAGCACCTGCGAGTCGTTCGCTCGAGCCTTTCCGGCAGGCACAAATAAAGTAGTCCACCGTCGCCGCCAGTGGCAAGCTCCCACGAGTTGTTTTCAAGCGTGTGCTCATCGCGGTTGGGCCACGTTCGCTCGGATTATTGGACCGCGTCTCAAACTTATCGTGCTGTCATTTTTTTTTGCTTTTTATTGCTATCATTATAATTTTTTTTTTTTTTTTATAAAATTTGCAGTGGTCGTGTGTGTGAAAAAAACGAGGAGCTTATCTGACCGACGTGAATAATAAAACGATTACAGAAGTGGAAGTCGACGTCTTGTTGTAGGTAAGATTTTATTTTGAGGCTTGAACATTAACTTTTTTCGATATTTTTTGCAAGCGTGGAATTAAGTTGACAGTATTTCATAAACTTTTAATGGTAAGTTGTTTCAAGGTTGAATTATGAAAAGTTATACAAAAAATTACCAAGTGTAGCAATATATTGTGAATTTTAAATACAAAAGTATTGAAGTAACAGATAAAAAATTGATAAAAATTTTATTTTAGAAGTAACAATCGTATATTTTATCTTAAAAACATCTGTTTAAGCAATGCATTTGAGTACAGAAGACTATTTTTAACCCAAACAATTGAAACTTAAAGTCTTTTTATGAGTGGCGATAAAGCTTTTACACGAAATCTTTATATCTCTAGAATTTCCCACGAAGTGCTGTACATTAATAAGGAAGATGCCATTAAAAATTTTGGAACTTCTTCATGAGTAATATTTACTGATTTTTACATGAGGAGGAAAATTGGTAAAATACTGAAATGTCTGTCCTGGAATGAAAGGGTTCAAACATAATATCTACAGATTAAATAATTAGCACTAGTTCTTTATAGTAGCATTGATGAGAAATTTTTTAAATATTGGGCCCTGGTTTGTACTGTCAGACATTAATTGGACCGTGACATTTAAATTGTCAAAACTGCTGTCTCGAGTATTTTAAACTGTATACGTGTTATTTAAAACTGGAATTCAATTCCATTCAATTTCCGCTCTACTGTCTGACAGATACCAGTTGATAATAAACGTATAATAAAATCGATAATCTTTATTCACTAAAAAATGGCATATATGATATAGTCATCTACCCATTTAATCGACGGTATAGGAGTTAAACAATTCTATTAATGCAATACCCTACTTCTTAAATTTTAGTATTCCCATGCTTTCAAATATCTCTTCAAACGTGAGGCAAAGCACACCAATGTGACTTACTTTAATGAAAAAAAAAAAAAAAGAAAGATTATGAGCGTACCAGTAGGATAACAACGACAAAGATCAATATCAACTATTTCACAATTAATTCGAAACATTGAAACACAAAAAATTTGACAGAAACAACTTGAGCTCGGCTGTGTCACCAATGACTTATCAACAAGCTTCGAGCAAAGTTTGGCGTAGAAAAACCCCGAAAAAAACAAAGGTACGGAGTGACGGCAGCGCCTCGTTCTCTCGTGTCCCTAATCCAGCTCACTTTGTTCCACGGGGCCTCGGAGCAAAACCGCAAAGGACTCACCAGCGGCTCGTTTGACTTTCAATCACGTGAATCCCCGGCCGTTGTCGAGCCCCCGGCCTCGCGGGGGGGAATCCTCCGCTACGCATAAATCTCGAGGCCGCTGCAGGAGGCGCCGCCAAGGTAATCAAGAGGAGACGACGTGAAAAAGAGAGAGAAAGAAATGTATAAATCGCTGCTTCCGGGGTAGCGACAATGTCGCCGTATACCCACACACACTTACACGCTCAAGGTGGAAGCATCGAAGAACGCAGCCCCGAGAAGGTGTTGGCGTGGATAAATCGACTTTATATTCCGGGCGAAACTGCATACCTTTTCGAGGAACTGTGTTTATATATGCATATACGCCGCGGGTATGATAGAAAATCCTTGCCCTCGTCGTAGGGCCATTTGCATCGTGGTATCGTGTCAAAAAAAAAAAAAAAAAAAAAATCTAAATTAGATGCCCTAAAAGGATTCATCTATTTTTACCCTAAAAGTCGATACTATGCAAAAGGTATACGTGCCTTCATTTCTATCTCTCCCTTACGCGCGATTGAATAAATAACTGTAATAATGAGAACTCAAGAACGGCGCGAAAACCCAATCCACCGTGGCGAGTAAGTTCATTCGGGCGCAATCAACGAAACCCCGTTCCCTTTCCCCGGGGAAAACTTTTCGTCGACTTTACCCGAAATCCCGGATAATTCATTTCAGCAACAGCAATGGGGGGGGACTATCCGTATACCGGTAAAAACTAATATCTGCGCTCAACTTGCGGTCAACGACCGTCGTCGCGAAATTAATAACGCCTGGCGTGGCGAATTTTCGGGCGGACCAACGGGGTGTATCTCGATCGCTACGAGTCTCCGTGGAAAATGGAACGGGGCTATTTTCGCGCGCGTCGCTTCGAATCGGTTCTCGCGTGTACGTACATGCACCTGAATCGAATCACAGGGAAATATAACCCTCTATCGGTATTGGTTTATGTTCAAACGCATGGTGCAGGGTGTGCGCGTGTGCGCCGTGTTCGTAAATATAAATCGTCTGGCTGGTACGGGGCTGGAATAATAATCGGCGAATTGGCGCTGCTCGGTAAAAAGCACCGGCTCGTGAGCTATTTCGGAGTTTCTTTTTTTTTTTCTTCCTCCTTTTATTCCTCTTTTTTTTATGATTAATGCCACCGGAGTTGTTGATGCACGATATCTGCTCAAGTGGTGTGTACTAATAATTTACTCCCCACATGTAAACTAGAATGCGAAAAATCGGTACCAGAACTAGAAGTTCCGAAAAAAAATCGGTTTGAAAAGCAGAGAGGGGAAAAAAAACTGAACCGCTGCAAACTTGTCTCAAAGCGCATGACTTTTCTAATTAAAAGCTCGCCCCGATGCCAACGGGCGGGCAAACCAGCTCCCCTCGTTTCTCTCTTCGGCTGTGCAGGTATAGAGCCCGTGAATCCGCGTACGGCGCGTACGTGAGGGCACGCGATACCCCAAATCGTAGCGTATATAGACATCGGGAAGGGGGTGTGGAAAAAAGTTGGGGATTCAAACACGTCCCCTGCATCTGTATACACAGGGGTAGCGCTAGTGCATGGAAAAAAAAAGTTAAGGACGCAGAGGTGGGTAACGATTTGGAGATCGCCGAGGAAGCCGTGCATGCACTAACTATACGAAGCCAGTCGCTGAAACGTGAGACGAATACCGATAAGTACGTTGGCTGAGCAAATGAGATGAGGTTTATGTACGGAAAATAAGATTCGAGCCACCAGCCACTTC